TTTTGAAGCATCAAAAAGTTTGCCATTTCTTGCACACTTTCACAAAGTACCCGTCACCTTTCCCTCATCCTGTGCATTTTTTTCATTCGTTCCCGCAACCCCTTTATCCACATCCTGCCGCATCCTTTAACCTTTCACTTCGTCTTGGTGTTTCGTTGCTTGCTTTGCGAAAGGCTGTTGCCTCCATTTATTTATTTTTTTCAGTTCCTTTTCGTTTTTTCGGAGTGCCTGAAGATCCTGTAATTTCTCATTTAATTTCCCATATTTTATTGAATTCAATTAACTTGTACATATACAAGCCAAACTAAAGCACTGAAAGAAGAGTTACTTAAGTTGGAGCAATATTTCACATTTATAGCATTATTCTTTCATTGAAAATAAATGAAATAAAAATAGTATTTCCATAGGTATCAACCGCTAAAGGATCTAATAAATTTTATGCAAAATCTTATTCTTCTTACTTTTGTATTAACTGGGGACAATTAAGACATTTTCCACAAGTGCACCACATCCCATAATCACAACAAATCGTTCTGGATGGAGTCCATTCATTGAACTTCATCCAAATCCACTTCTCTGTGTCTGGCCCCATGGCCATAAATGATGTGGCACAATTAAAGGCCCGGGCATCGCGTCCGTCGTTAACCATATTGCTGGCCAACTCTCTTGGCCAGGTTTGGGGCCACGTTCGCCACGTTCGTCATGGCATCAGAATGCGTGCGTGCCTGCAGTCGTTGGTCCGGGGTCGAGGTGGCCTGGTGTCCTGGTGGCCTGGCACCCAGCTTCCTGCATCCTGCCGGGGATTTTGCGGGCTCCGTGTCCATGAAGCTCGTCACGCAGCAGCGTTTGAAGTCAATTTAAAATGAGCATTCGGGCGTGCAGTCATGAGATGCACCCAGCAATACATACATACATATACCTCCAATCCCTTTCAATCCTTCACTGGGGGAAAAATGCGAGAAAATCTTAAAAGTGTTCTTTTTTAAATATTTTAAAATTTAGCTTTTTCACTCAATAAGTTTGATATTATATATGAATACTTGAACGTTATTTTATAAGCGATAAATTCATGCTGATATTCATACTTTCTTTAAGTTTTTATTGCTTTTATTTCCCAGTGTTGCCCATCGGAACATGGCAGAGTTATTGTTATTATTGCGTTGACTGGGCAGATGATTTGCCACTTGGCCAACCCCGAGCGGATTGATAATTTAATCAGCTCAGGCCATAACTTACAACCAAGTATTTTGGTCTCCGAGCCCAAAGCGAGTTCTATTTATTTAATTGATCTGCGGCAGACAAGAGCATCTATAGCGACCTCTTTGTACTGGAGGGAATAACATTGTATTTTGCAGACTAGAAAAGAATTGATAAATAGTGACCTTGGGTACTTTCCCAGTTTCTAATAAAATCTTTGTAAATGAATATCTGTAGAAAGAATTATATAGAAAATGAATATGATACATAAACAGATAGTTGTCATTTCTATTATATTTGTCTTTGCAACATAAGTCGTCAGTCCCATTATCCTTAAGAAACTGCAGCCGTAATTAGTGAATGTTCGTCTCTTGACCAGCCGAAATTGGAATCTAATTACTGGCCACACAAATGGAATTTCTCTTGTCCCCAACTGTGACTGTGGACTCTCCGTTTTGGGTTCTGGGTTCTCGGCACTCATTCATCGGTTGGCAAAACTTTCCTTCGGTCGCCTTGGTTATCTGCAAATGCAGCGGCAGAAGCCAAGCCAAATTAGCCCAAAAACAGTAAGAGTCCCCAGCTCAGCCTGACGGCTTCCTATCCTTCATTATCCTTGGCCGATGTGACAGGGACCAAGAGGCAACTTTTGAAGCGTCCGTTGGATGACGTCGCGTCTGGCACGCACAGAAAGTTGCTGCTCGCCACATTTTTCATTGCACAACACACACAAATTAATTGAATTTTAAGCAACTTTCTCTTTGGCCACGCAAATTGTTGTCAAATTTATCTAGTAAAACCGTTGAAAAGTGAAAAAAAAAACAAAGTAAAAATGGCAGAAATAAAAATGTAGACAAACCCAAAAACCGAGAAGAGTTCGCCAAAATAAATTTTAAAATGTAAATTTTGTAAAATAAAATTTATATAATGGAATACTCTGGCACTTAAATACATAAAAAGGCACTATGTTTAACAGGAATTTCCAAATGTTGTGGTATGAATGCACTTACTTGTAAAGTTTAATTATAAAAGAGAATGACAGATTTTATTTACTCTTTACAATATAAAAATAATTGATTTGCTTTCCAGTATTTTAGGATTTTTAAAGTATTAGTTACTTATTGATGTAACTTATACTAATTATTTTATTTGTAAAAAAATGTCTCCGGAAGGGTATACTTATAGTTGCTTTCTGTTGGCTACAAAAAACTTTTTCGGCCGTTTTCAGGACCTCGGATGGTGATACGTCAGGAGGGGTGGAGAGGAACAGGAACAGCTTTGGCAACATCATGTACCGGCTAGCTGCGCTGGGACATCATTAGTCCTTTAATTGCCATAAATAACCACAGCCGCATTCATCGCCCCCGCAGCGCCACTGAACCACCCAACCACCGGACTGTCCCTCCATCCCTAGCGCCACATAAAAGTTGTCAACGTTATTTTTGCAACTCGCTCGCACACACACGCTAAACAACAATTCCCACGTGCCTGGGAGAGTGTGTGCGAGTATGTGTGTGTATGCTGGCGCATAGTTCACAGTTTTTGGAGCATCATGTTGAGCATATTGTCAAAGGGAAAACGCAGTGCAGCAGGCTCAGGAGACAGGATATAGGATACGGTATTTGTTAGGTGTACTGTGAGAAAAAACGTATAGGAAGTTTCTTTTACACTGAAGAGTAGAAATCGATCAGTAATTGTATTTAAGAAAATCATAAAAATCTAACCATCTTGAATAAGATTTGTTAATTTTTAAAGCTCACTTAATTCGCTGTTCGAATTTCTCTGCGTGTTATATATATGGGACACGAAGTCGGGCACTTTGGCCAACTGGTATTGCTATTGCCAAATGCCTCGCTCGCTCCGTCAGTCAATGTCCCTGGCCAATTCCTATTGTCAGCTGCGTGCCACCAGACCACCACCCACTTGGTTGTTCCAGCAACCGAAAACTATCCGAAACTGTGCGAAAGCAGCCCAGTCCTACCCTGCCCCATGTTCTCCATCTGGCGCACTCTTGTGCGTTGCACGGCATTTTGGAAATCAGTCAACAAATGCAACCACACGGCATCCAACTGCATTTCACCTCCTGGGGGAATTTAAGGGTGGCGGGGTGGCGGGTCCTTCGCTTTCCTCGGTGGGCCGGATGGTGACTTATGTGGCAGGCCGGCGGCATCGACTCTCCACTTGACAATTAGTTGGTTGGTCAGAAAGTTGGAAAATGCAGCTGCAGCCGGGCGAACTGCAAAAATGTTTCTGTGGCATTTTGGGCACACTCAAAAAAGGACTTTAACTAGAATTCGGGAAAACCCACAATTAAACTGTACTAAATGGATTGAAAAGCAAAGTAAGACCTTTTAGGATAAGGTTGCATTGAAAATCGAGGCATTTAATAGATATTTGGCATAGATTCGATTAATGATAAAATAGGATTTTTCTATGCTTTTATTAACATTTTACATATTTTTTGCAAACAAATAATGTGTTTACAATAAAAGCAATACAGGTTACAATACAAAGTAATTAGAACTATATACTTTTAACTTAAGAATAAAAAATATATATAAGTAAAAATAAACAAATTAAATAATAATGGAAAACATTAAATTGTACCTATTAAAACACAAAATGCTCCAAGTAGATCTTGATAGTGAAATGCAAATAAAGCCCATTAAAATTTGTTGCACCTGCAACTATAGTTTAGTGCATAAATAGTTTTCTAAATCAATTTTAAAGCTTAAAGCGAACCCTATATTTATAAGAATTATTTATAATTATTTTCCTTTTTCTATAAATATATTAACTTTCGTACAATATTTTTCGAGTGTCAGTAAATACATAGCAGGTTATTGTACAGATGTAGAAAGACCAAAGCTTGGCTGAAGAAAGCTCCTGCTGCACCAATTAAATAGCTGGCAAACTTGAGCCAATTAATCCGGTATTACAATTAAATGCCAAATCATTCAATATCACTGCCATCTCTCGTTTAAATAAAGCTTAATTAATGCAAACACAGTGACCTGTGGACCTAAGGTGTGAATCGAATTTGCATAGACCGAAAAGCAAAGGATATTCTGCGTGAGATGACTTTAGGTTGGTTATACTCGTATATGACAGACAGGTGTTAACTGGACACACGAACTTCATTATTAAAGTCCTGTCAATTGAAGTGAGGTTGTGCGGCGTGCAATGGATACTCGGAGAAAACAAAAACGGTCGGAAACCTAATAAACTTCCAGCAAGTCACCGGCAAATTGAAAATAGGCAAAATCCAAAGAAAACCTTCCTTCCCCCGGCTTGACAAAATTGTAATTTCCGCAAACAAAGGCGGCAAATTATTAACAATAACAATAGAAATGCAGCTGCGCCGGTCGAGGGTCGCTGCAACTTCATTTCAAACCAGGCGATGCATTCGAGCGCAAAGAGTTCACGCTCAGACGCATCCTGTGAGTGACTTTGCAGCCGACTGACATCCCGATTCATTGGGGATCGGGAAGGGGACATGGTGGATCAGGGATCGGGGATGGCGGACTCCGCCGGATTAGACAAAGGGCCCCCAGTCCGCTCCAGGGGCATAAAGGCAAATAAATACATAGCATTGTTAGCAGTCGCTGCATGTGCTGGGGGTCAGGGAATTCGAAGGACTTAGCATTTTCAGCAAAGCATGTGTATAAGAAATATCAATTGACAAGATGACATCTGTGGCAAGAAAAATTTCAGTAAATTGTAAATAAATGATTTCCTCTATCAATAATGATTGGTAGATTCTATCCGTATGACTTTAAGCTTCTCGTTTCAAAACAGAGTACATTCGATTTTAATTTCAAGGTAATGTTCGTAGGTCTTGGTCTCTGTTATCTGAAAGAGACTTGTTTTCCACAAATTTCATAGTATATAGTTCATTGCATATATTTTGTAAAACAAGGCAAGTGCAAGGATGCCCGAGGATATGATGGTCCCCGCGGGGCCTTATAAGCTGCCTAAGCAGTTCCGCCGAGAACAAATGCGACGTCAGAAGAAGGACTTGCCCTGGTCTAAGCGTGTGTTCGACATGGACGAGAAAAAACTGTTCGGCCGCACCGCTTGGGCCTGGCTACGGATCACGCTGTTCTACTTGACCCTCTACATCATCATCTCTATCATTGCGGGTTTCTGGATCCTTCTTTTTAAGTACGTGCTCATATCTAAAGACCACCCGATGTCCGCCAAGAAAACGCCGGGCGTGTCGCTGGTGCCACATAACTCGACCACCATATCCTTCATTCCCCATGAGCCTGCGACAATCTATCCAATTGCGGATACGATCGAGGAATTCCTTCTTAGTCTGAAGGACAACGCCATGGATTTCTTCAGCGACTTCAATGAGGACGAGCTATGGGGCTACAAGACGGGAAAGCCGTGCATCTTTGTCCGGTTAAACAAGGTGATCGGTTTTAAGCCGGACACCTACGATACCCCCGAAGAACTGCCCAAGGACGCGCCATCCGAGCTCGTTGATATCATACGCAAGCACGGTGGCAGTCCCAGAATCTGGCTCAGCTACAAGGCGAACAGTAAGCCATCTCCCACGATCCTTTACTATCCGGGTCCTTTCTTCGATACCACCAGGATGTCGGGCGTAGAGCGCGTGGTCGCTGTGCAGCTGAACAACATGCCGGCTAACGTGGACGTTGAACTTGACTTTAAGGTCTGGGCCCGCAACATTCCCATAGAGGACAGGTACAATGGCAAAGGTCACGCCAGGATAACTCTGCACATGAACACGCAAGCCGCCCTAAAGGCACCTGAGAGAAACAGGTTCGCTGTTGCCCGCGACTCGGAAAGGAAAAACGCTCCAGGAAAGGAAAGGTCAAGGGCTAAGCCAATCACCTTTTTTATCAAGGAACCATCCATTTAGAGCTGCGAAAAGCCACTTCACTGTAACGTTATGTTAATCAAAGTGTTAAAATACAAAATAATTGGCTAATTTTTGGTTCTATCTGTAAAAGTGCGTTAGCCCGAGTTGAAGGCACTTTGCTCTGCTCTGCCCTCCCTTGGCTTGGCTCCAACTCCGACTTTGTTGTTCTCCTTGGTGAATGTCCTTGTAGGACACTGCTCCACTGAATGCTAATTACACGCGCATTTGCCTTGGTAATTATCAATTCAGTTTAGCAGACATCGCCGCCATCGTCAGAGTCGTAAAATACCAGAGCGGCGAACATTAAAAATTGCTGGCTGCCTTTGAATTTCAATTGGGATCCCTGCTCCTGCACATATTAAGTATATTTCTGTATTTTTGCATAAATTAAAATGCAAATCACAAACAGTTTCATTAATAAACATTGCGAGCGGATGAAGTGCGCAGCTTATGGTGGACCGTAAAAGTTCCCCAGGAGGTCAGGGGGCGCGGTCGCCACTACCCGCAGTTTCCATTCCGTTTGCGGAATGAAAATCCAATTCCTTAAAGTGCCGCCGACGCAGCCATTTGTATGCGTAAATCGGATATGGAAAGCCTTCGAGCAATTAGTGAGGCTGAGCGGTTACTCCGAAGTCCGCAGATCAGAGTACAGAGAGTCGAGTACAGTGCTTGGAGGGCGCCTCATTAGTGAAATAATTCGATTCAGGAGATATCTCAATCCACTCTAGATGAACGCAATGCAATCTATAATGCGTGGATTTGTAGCACAAATAGAGCGGGAAATTGAAACAATAATGGAATGGGAAATGCACAATACGAATAGTTATTTAGTTACTATCTCATTATGGCATTGTCCACTCTGATAATACTGAGGGGAATTACCGAACCCCTTAATTTGAAAAATTTTCTTCAAATTTCATGTAGCATATGGAACGCCTTCGAGCAATTAGCGATCCCGAGCGGTTAATTCGGAGTCCGCAGTCCGGAGAGCGCCTCTTTAGGGAAATAATTCGATTCAGGAGATAACTCAAAACCAAAGTCAAGATGTAGTCAGTGGTTCAAGAATAGGACTTAACCATCTTTAACTTATAGCATATATTATATTTTTCCGCGTATTGACACATTTATCATATATGTATGTACTCGTTATTAAAACTTTAACAAAATATCTGTGGAATTGCTGTATCGTTTAGTTCTTGAATTGATTTCAAGGGGATTTTTACAGAACATATATCAGCATTTGGGTAAACCAACTTCTTGTGAAACTTGTTCGCATGATAAATTAAATTTCCATTACCAGATACATAGACCATAATCTTCTTGACGATCCATCCCATTCAAAACCAGACCATCGATGGGGCTATTGAATACATTCATCAATTTAAGCATCTGACTCCGAACTAAGCAATCAGATCGAAAACACTAGTTAACAAACTTTATAAATAAAATGATAATTTAAATGTATAATCATCTAATAACTCACCAACTATAGTTCTATATTATCTCTATAAATATGGGTTTTAAGTGTCACTTAGTGAAATATATTATACTGGAACAATGTTTCAAAAGAGTGAAAGTCAGCTTTTGTCAGCTCGTTGCTTGTACTTTGCAGCACAATTTAAAGCCAACCAGTATTCTTTTATTATTTCTCATTATGAGAAATTACTTGTGCCGATAAAACAGATTGTCTTTTCAAACACACTTTAACCATTTTATCTTTCTTAATTAAAAAACTCTGCATTACGTTTATATGTATCTGAACAAAACAGGAAATCAAGTGGCATGAATGTGGTTAGGCCAGTGTAACCCATTCAACTCTTCCCTCTGGGCTGAAAATCTTTTCAGACTCATTCATTGGCAGCCGACTGCCGATGCACTGAAATGAAAAATTTAATTTTCATAATACTGACGGAGAACACTGTAGTCCCGTGGCATCAGCAGCCAGCCACCCCCTCTGCTCATACTCTTGTAATGGAAATTGAAAATATTTTCCCTCGGCTTGCCGTGCTTACACAGCTACCGCATCCGCTTTTCCCAACTCCTCCTCTATTTTTCCGACTCTGGGTGAGGGCTTTCTACAGACTGCAGTCTGCGATGATTTTCAATGTGGCAACGAGGGGCATTTGTATGCATTTCCATAGGCATTATTTTGATCGGTAGCTGCCAACCGACCGCAGTGCCGCATATATGAGTTTTGCGGCCGAGTCTATTAATTGAGTATAAATATTGGTTAACCGCCGACGAGTCATAGCATTCCCAGCATTTCAATTTCAATGAAATGCCAAAAATGTTCAACAACTCGGCAAGCCGTTTGTCTGGCAGTTTGATTATGGGGAAAAGCCTTGGCAATCAGTAAAGCAAAACGTTTGGAAAATGTAATTACATTAAGCTAAAATCTGCACATAAGAGAGGAGCCTCAATAAATAAGGATATAAGAACTTAGAAGACTACAACTAACATTTCAATAAATTTGGGGAAATTTCCCTTAAATTCATATAATATTTTGTAAAAACAAGCCAAGCCTTCGCACTCCCCTTGGATTTCCATGCCGCAACTCCCCAGCTAATAACATATTCATACATCTGCCCTGACAGGCCATAAAGATGTGCATATAAAAAAATATAAATAAATATGTTGCCATCGTAATGGCCATAAATAACACATATGCATTGCCAGTGATGTGTTATTATACAATATTTTATACACATTTCGGCGCTACCCGTAAATAATTACATGGACGTGTCCGTTCCGCGAGTTAGCGCAACGAATTAAAGGCGCAAACGTTGCGTCAAATACGTGACTCCAATGCCAATCTGTGGGCATAGGGACAGGGTATCAGGACAACGGGCAGGACTATAGTCTGTGCAGTCAATATCGAGTCGGGCGAGTTCATAATTCGGCCACCCCGCAAATGGAATGGCCCTGGCAGCCATAAAGCTGCATAGCAGATTGGCCAACGGCAAGATGCCGGCGCGGCGATTAGTTAGAGTTTAACTGCCTAAAAAGCGGCATCGAGCCAGCAGCCAAGCGGTGCCATGTCATTCATTTGTCCACGCCCGACTTCTTGCGGCGCATATATAAATTTCCCAGCCACGACCTCCACATGGAGTCCAAGGAGCCAGAGCAGAATCAGTCGCAAGAGCAGGAGCAAGAGCAGCAGCAAGAGCAGGAGCGGCAGCAGGACCAGGATTCTGGACCGGCTCTCTGCTATCTTTGACTACATAAATCACGGACTAATAAAGCCGCAAGACTGAATGTAGCAGGAGCAAAAAAAAAAAAGAACATAAAGGAATGTTTGTTTTTATCCAGCTGAAGATTGCATACTCTTTTCAAAAACAACATAACACTTGAACTTTCCTGGAGATTCCTGGATCATATTTATTATCTTATATATATCCCACAACAATTATCCATGTTAAACCAAAATTTAAATATTCATATTATATTAAAACATTGAAATCAATTTCCAGAGGTTACGAGACGTATCATAAATTCCTAATACCCTTTTCTGGTAGCCGCAAAAGGAAGTGCGAACCACCAAGTGAGCAACGTGGAAAAAAAAGGAGAAAAAATGGCGACATGCGACATATGAAGTTTATTAAAATGACGGCTGAAGGAGGTGGATATGGATGGGCTAGGGGCTTCAGCCTCAGCCTCAGGACCCTCCGGCCAGGACTCTCTGTGTCGGTTAGTCATACGCATAGTTCAACGTCATGTGGCGCGCGTCGCCATAAATATTGTGACCCTCAGCCTGGACAGGAGTGGAGGCAGGAGTCTGCTAAAGGACTGAGAGAAACCCCTGGTCCAGGGTATATTTAAATTTTTATTACTACGGCAAACATTTGGCAAAAGTTTTATGATAATTTCTGGCCGGACCATCTGGTTGTTTCTGCTTTAAAAACTTGCTTACATTGTGCATTTCTGTTGTTGCGTTGGCAAAACTTACAATTACGGCCAATTAACATGTGTTTGTACAAGTGCAGAAACACAAACACAAAGCAACACAATACAGCACAACAGGATACAGGATACAGAAGGGCCTTGCTATATATGCAAACAGCAAATACAACAATATTTTATTGCTCCTCCTGGCCTAAGGACAACAGAGGGTGGCGACGGGCGGCCGAGAAACAAAAACATTGAGGCCAAAAAAGTGAGCAGGCATCGACATCGCAGCCAGATCCTGGCAATCCTTTGCACTCGAGTCCCGAAAACATCCTCGTCGCCTAATGAGAGTCGACATCAAAATTCATGGCAGCACCTACACACGTACACGGTGGCAGGAGCGGCCACAGCTACAGATACAAATGCAGATACAGATACAAATACAGATGCAGATATACAGATACAGATACAGATCCAGATGATGGAGCAGCTCTCTCCGGTCTCTCCGACAGGAAGGTCCTGCGAACGTGCTGATGAAAACGGCACAAAAATGAAATATTTAACTAAATTAACAATCTTGTTTATTTATTCAAAATTTGCATAAACAATTTGGCACAAAGACGAAAAACCAAAAGTCTATTTTCTGCCCGCTATTTCCCCCTCCAAATCCTTCTCCCTTAATTTCCCCCGCCATCTGCCATTTGGCCTTGAGTGTCTGCTTGGATTTGGTGTCTATAGAGATGCCGCGTTTTTTGTTTTCACCAGTTGATAAGGAACAAAGGCCGAAGGGAAAACACCGAACACCCCCTGACCTTTGCCCTGCATATTCATAAGTCACTGGGAAATGGTAGTTCTCAGAATAAACACACTGCTAAAAGCAGAGAGAAAGGTTCGAAACTCAATAAGAATATAAATAAATGTGTGTAGGCATTTACGGAGTTTTCCTAGATCTTTTGAATTAATTTCTCTACATTATAGCTTTGGAATTTCGTTCAGTGCAGGAATTTCTTGCCTTAAAATATAACTTCATCCAAACACTCACAAAGAAAAACACTCTTCGATGTCAACCTTCGCAGGCAGCACACATTTATTCACATTTTAGTTTCCTTGGGGGAGTTCTGTTTTTGTTCCGCCGACACTTCATCAAAAACTTGAATGCTAAATATGTCGGTGAGCACATCTCT